CATATATAATATAAATTAAATCAGATATTATGGGTTTAAAAGCAAGACTGTAAGTTTTGCATACCGCCGGCAAGACTAGCAATATTCTTTTACTTCGCAGGATTTTAACGGCATAGTCCGTGCTTCAAGTAGCCAGTGGGAACGCTTAAGTAAGTTATGACCCCAAGGAATAAACAGCATATAACACAGCAAGATCTTTTTCAACTTACGAGTGATATCCCGATTCAAATACTTTGAGCGCAATGCAAATGTCGGCGTCAAATAATCTTCTATTTCCATTCAAAAGGTTTCGTTCATACAATGGTTTTCTCTAACATAGAATAATCGAATATGCACAGTATGCGGGGCCGACCCCTTTAATTTTCGTGCGTAGCCGCCCTTTGTCCCGCGGAAGAGTTGGGCAGACAAAATACAGAAGTGAGCCAGCTGTCTCCGCATGTAAGCGTTCCAGCAACGTTTATCGATGACGACACGACCAGGAAGAAGCGGTTTAATTGTAAAGACTCACTGGCCATATGACGGTGACGAACCTTATAAAAAGGCCATCTCTGTGTACTGACATTTGGCGACGAAGGGAGTAACTACTTAAATAAATCATACAGTCTCGGAACCGACATGCCAGTAAAGTGTCATAAAGTGTAGCATACACTTACTCGGCCTTGACGACGGAATTGTCGCACAGCGCAAAAGCTAGCGAAATAAACATATGTTTATAAGAGGCCTTAGATTTTCCCCAGAACCACTGAATTTAAGTATAACATGTTTTATGAAGTGTGTGGATCAATATCAGGACTGAGGAAATCATTTTCTATTTATTTTGTTTAAATTTTAATTTATTTGCGCTGACATCTCATAATATGCTCATCAAGTAAGACTGCAGACAACATAAATTGCAGCAACCACAAAAAAACACAAGTCAAACCGCATGTCCATAAGTCTCGTAATAAATCGCACAACATCAGAATAATACCCAACTTCATTGGAAATTACAAGTATGTCATTCAGAGGAAGATTCAATGGGATCAATGACTAGTTTTAATTAAAAATGTAATAAAGCTTGTTCGGCTTAAACATGCCTATATACATTCCAGTTAGTATTATAACAATTTGCCATATGATAGAAATCTGATAAAAATGTGAATGTTCAGATAAATGTGTAATATCAGCAGAAAGGACCTCATCCGAAACAGCTTCATAAGAAGCACTCTAGGGGTAGCATCAGTTTCAGAAAAGCTTAGAGAAAGCAGGCTCCGCTAGTTCGCCATGTTAAAAGAAGACCAACCAAGTACGTTGGAAATGTGTTAACAAGCACTGATACTTCCGGCGAAGAAAAGAAGAGGAAAACCGAAGAAAATGTGTCGCGATATCGTCAAGAACGACATAAAACTGCGAGGAGTCTCTGAGATATAGCAAATGACAGGAAAATGTGCAGGAGGGAGACTCGATTAGCAGACCCTTGTTAAAGAGAACAAGCTAGGAAAAAAGCATTA